TTTGTGTCTATTAGACATTGAAAACGGACTCATTTCGCACTTTCGCGTCATTACCGCGCCTATAAAACTGACAATAAACCGACAAAAGTAGAATCCAGGGATATGATTCGCAGGGATAATAATAAAAGTTTAAAATTATGAGAAATTTTATTTCTGTGTGCAAGGACCCGAGGGTGTGGAGATAAGAATGAATTCCCTTTAGCTATACTCGCTCGTCCATTTCACCAGCTTAAGGATGGAAATTTATAGGCCCTCGAAAAGTTTCCTCCCAGTTTAGAAGCAGACTTAAATTTTTAATTTCAAGGTTGCCGATATTTTTAAAGATTTATTATGTTGTAACCTTTTTATTTAGTCCCTTATCGGTTTCTTTTCTAATTTACTCAAAAAATACTTTTTTAATTATAACATTTCTGAACTATTTATTTCTTTTTGAATGAAAACAAATTAGAATAAATAATAATAAGTTTATTAATTCTATTATAACAATACGTATTCTAATTCCATTTAGGTATTTATGCGCGTATGACACAGTATAAATCGAAAACAAAATTTTCACTCTCGGATATATTTTTTATTTTTTTCTTTGGCCAATTTATAATATAGTTTTATTAAAATTGATGAAATAGTTTTTAAATGTATATGTAGGTGTTACATGGATAAACATCCACATAGACAAAACTTCTACAAAAACAATTTTAATTCTATAGATATTATGCATATTGATATTTTGATAAAAAAGCATAATATGTATTATGTTACGCAATTTGTAAAAAAAATATAAATCCAATTTAAACTTACCATTTTATCCATAAAAATTAAAACCTCTTACATATTTGTTATATATATATATATATATATATATATATATATATATATATATATATATATATATATATATATATATATATATATATATATATATATATATATTCTGGGCAGCCAGTCTTTCTCAGTTTGTCATTGGATAAAATCTCACTGAAACTTTAGTTAATCCAAACGTGTTCTGCTCAGCAAATACGTGCGCCGATTTTGTTCACTGAGGTGTTCCATTCAGTTTTCTCTACAGATATCTACTAAATATAACAAGTATCTCTGTTCGATTCTTGTTTCTGCTATAAAGCAATTTTGTTTTCACGGTATGTTTTGAATTGAAGGGTAGAATATGGCAATGATATTACAAGGTACAGAGGCACAACATTTTAATCCTACGAATGACAACACTTGAAGAGTATCACGGGCGACATAGCATGGACACAGTATACTTTATTGTCCTAATGATGCTGTTCATATCTATAGACGACGGTTACCACTTTCCATCAGGTAGACTGTAGGCTTGTTTACCATTATAAGTGGCTTAAAAAAATATGAATTTCAAACTTTCTCGTTAATAATATTAGTAGGGAAGGCTGAAATTTTAATTGTTTTTTTTTTTTTTTTTTACTTATGTTTCATTGTAAATATTATTAAATTTCGCTGGTAGATACAACTCGATCTGTTATTTCCACAAAAAAAAAACAATATCGATAAAAATCGTCAAAACCAGTTATTTTGATTTAAATATTAAACTATAACTAGTCGAATTGAAAAAACTTCTTTGAGACCAATCTACAAGTATATCCTTTTAAATAAAAAAAAGGTAATCCCTAATCGGTTCACAAAAGATGTACTTTTGAGGTAACAAATAAAAAAATACATCCGAATTGAAAAACTCCTCCTTTTTTTAAATTAATTGGAAAACTTGTATTTCTATTTCAATCTGTATATGTAGATACAATTAATGCAACTTTGTCAACTCTACACTTAATCAGAAAATAGGTACTGCCCAGAACAAGCAGTGTTCAAAACGGCTGTTTCAATTGCATTCGTAAATGTTTTGTGACAAAGCCATGATCGTAAGTTAGTCAGCGTTTTGGTTGTTCTTGTTTCAAATACGAGTAGTTATTTAATAGTTGTAAATAGATAAATGAAACAAAATGTTGTATTAATATTATTTTCATGTTATCGGTATTATAGAATTAGCTTACATAATGTATTTTTAATTATTTATGTCGGCTTTATTCGGTCAGTCGTTTTAATTTGAGGATGCGAACAGCGCGCTGGTCGCTCAGTGCTGCTTGCGACACAGCTGTGAACCGCACTCATGAATAAGGGCTCCTATTGAGTTATAAACTAGTCGGGCATCCCCAAATTTATACACGTACGTAAAACCGACATAAATAAATAAAATAGGTACAGTATGACTTACATTAGTTATTATTCAACAATATAAGATTTTGTTTTAAGAAAACTTTCAATTTTGATCAAATAAATGTTTGAGTCCAAAACTGAAAAATATAATGAAAAATAACTACAGTAGTGCCTAAATTAATGTGAGAGCAACATAGGAACAAATTATATTGATTGAAAAAAAAACAATACTGACAATAAATTGGTAAAGATATCGCGGAATGTACACGAAAAATACAATTGAATTGATAAGTCGTCTCTTGTTTGAAGTCGGTTAAAAATAAAATTTTACACAGTTGTGGTCACCAGAGTATGATGTTTCGCCTGACTAAACTACCATATTATCTCACAAGTTCTACCTATCTGTCGAGAAGCAACAATGTGTAAAACATATAACTATATCAATTATTCAGATGTTATCGGGAAGATAAGCAACATAATCTTGATAAAATACATCCAACAGTCAGCACAGTATATTTTACAATATTCGAGATACTGTTTATAGATATGTTTATAGATAGATAACTGTTATGATTACAAGGCAATTTGACTGCCATAAATTGAAAAATTATAGCTGAAACGAAATAAGCTTGCGTCACCCTAAACCAATTTTAATTTAAATGTATTCCAGAAATGAGAATTTCGCAATTTATCTGTATTTTTTGTATATAGTTAGATTTTTTTGCAATCGGCAGTATAATACCATTTTGGTTGCATATTAAATTTGTCATCATTGAAATGTCTATTTTTCGCAAAGCAAATTCTTGCATGTTGTGTCCTATTATATGTTTTCAACCGACTTCGAAAAAAAAGGTGGTTCTGAATTCGGTTGTATTTTTTTATGTTTGTTACCTCAGAACTCTGTCATTTATAAACCGATTTGGAAAATTCTTTTTATATTTAAAAGATGAAGTTTTCCGATCGCTTCCATAAACATTTTACCAAAATCGGTTTAGCAGTTTAATTTTTAAACAAATAAATCTGGTTTTGCCGTAACTGGAGACGGTGGTTTTTATTTTCTTTTTGTGGAACAAAATCTTAAATTATTCAATACATAAATACATCTGATACAATAAATATATTCAGTCAACTTAACTTTCAAGTCATTCGTGTGATGACCTTGTTAATACGGTTTAATACATTTTCTCACCTTCCAACTTTCAAGGTGCCATTCCCGTACTATACTAATAATTACTTTCATAAATATGTCTGTTTGTATCGATCTGGGCATTGGCTAATATGTATGAATATAAAAATCATTATATACATCCGTCACTCGTCTAATAGTATGGGTACTCGCCTAGTTATCATAATACAAGCTCGGCCCATGTTGACATTAGATGGCGCTGTGTACCTAATATGTCCAGTATTTAGTAGACGTGTAAAATACGGCACGACTACACCGCCCATAATGAATCCATTTATAGGTTTATCCGCTGGAATTTACCTACGTGAGGGAAATGCATATTGACGGTCAGGTGTTATACATAGCCGACGCAATTTGTGCTTGGTCAATACAAACTGTACTTTTGGTGAATATATTATATTATCTGTAATATAATTAAATAAATATATGTATATATATATATAAACAGAGGGAGACTTTGTAGAAAAGTCGATTCCTTGGGTACCTCTGTCCCATTCGTGTTTCAACCGTGAAGCAGTTGTGTTTGTATGGCTGTGTGTCGGTTTGAAGGATGGGAAATGTCGTGAATTTACTGGGTACAGAGGAATAACACCTGAGTCTTCAGAATGGCAACGCATGGGGGATATCATGGACGAAACAGTATAGTCTGTTATGTCCATGGTACTGCTCATGTCTATAGGCGGCGGTTACCACTTTCCATCAGGTGGGCCGTCAGCTTGTTTGCCACTCTACGTTGTATAAAAAAAAATTATAAAATATAAATTGACAAAGTATTTTCATTTGCATAAAAGTCACAAATAATGAGTAGAATCGGAAAACAATGGAATAAAGAATTTAAATTGTAGCTTTACCTGTTAAGGTACAATTAATTTCGTATAACCTGTCGTATTTAATAGTCATCATCAGCTGAGGGCTTAATATTAACGGACAAAGACAATTTCATTAGCAGATTATACGAAATAAATCATATTAAGATTCGTAAAAAGCGGCACTTTTGAAGCTCCAGGTCGCCAAAGCAATTCACTACGCGACCAGGACGACCTTGATGCCTTTTTTTATAGATTATTATTCTATTGTAACTGGATAACCGGAGGCATATATTTACTTGTTTGTTTTATACATTATATTTTCTTCTATATCTTTACTAGTTTATTGTAATCGTTGTAGCAAACATATTTATATGAAAAGTTACTATTTTTACTTATATTTTTATTTTATTTATACTTGCTATTGCAACAGTATATCATAAATTGCAAAAGAACAAATAACAAAATATCTACTGGTAACAAATCCATGACAAACATATTAAATATACAATCATCACCGCTTACACCTTCCTCTTATTCAAAATTTTGCATACAAAAGAACCATCTCACACAAAGCGTACTTCCTACAGAAATGCAAATACCTTCATCAAAATCGGCGACTCGACCGGCGGGGCACGATTGAGAGTTACAAGTACGAAATCCTTTTATCGCTTTTATAACAGTCTCTTTGTTTATCGTACTCGACTTTATTACTTCGCGTCCAGATCTCGCCAGTATAAGAACCGTCGCTCTCTAAATTATTCTCCAAAGAGGCGTCCTTGAATCGAATTAAATCGAATTAAAATTCATACAGCTGCGAGATGATTGTGTAAGTACAAAACATTTCGTTATCATTTATAAACATAAATGCCTAAAGTATAGTGTACATATACTATTTTAAGGCAACTATTGAATACATTTGGCAATAAATAAAATATAAATATTTAATTAGAAATTTGAAAAAGAACAACTTTTTTTTATACGTATCAAATCAAAAATAAAACAAAACCATGTTACTTAACTTAAAGAGTTACGAAACGATCAACCTTGCCATGGAAATCACTAAGTTTAGATCCAAATTGATATTGCGTTAGCTCGATACAAATAAAGAAAAATTTACTTCAAAAAACGTTTCCAACAACACTTGATTTAGTTAAAAATAAAATTCGATATTACATTTAAAAAGAAGGAAAAAAGAATTTATTTGGCGCACATCGTACAGTTACAACAAAAAACATAAAAAGTCATAAACTTAACTAAAAAGGAAATGCTAAAGAAATATTTACGGAAAACAACATACCTATTAAATATATATTTTTTATAATACCTACTAGATAGACCTAGATTATATTGTAAAGATTAAGAACTGCCCTCGAAATCGTAAAAATGAATAAGATAAATGATAAATCTCTTTCGTAATTCTTCTTTCATCCATCCTTTTATTCCTTTTTGTGTTTGTCATGTCGTCCACACTTCTCTCTGACATCAACTGTTTCTTTTAAATATAATATACTACTAGATAAGATTTGTAAAGATTAAGAATCATTTGTTCTATAGTTCGATTATAAACACATTACAAATAAAAGAACATTGATATCCTTACACTAGAAATAAAGAAGCATCCAAAAAAAAAAAGTACAATCTTTGATATTTTTATTTAATTAATATTTTATTCAATGTCTAATTAAGCGGTCGGAAACTCCGCACCATACATATAAGTTTATTTTTTCTTCACAATTAATCTAATAATACATATTGAAGTTTAAAAACAAAACACTCCAGTGCAGTGGCATGTCTGACATTGCCAGTGTTATGACAGTGATAAAAGTTTTGAATGAGATTGAACATTTGAACATTTACAAATATGCCATTCATTATTTGATAATTTTTTTTATGCAACTTAGAATGGCAAGCAAGCTGATGGCCCACCTGATGGAAAGTGGTAACCGTCGCCTATAGACATGAGCAGTACCATGGACATAACAAAGTATACTGTTCCGCCCATGATACCCCCCCCCCCCCTCCATGCCTTGCCATTTCTGAGGACTTAGGTGTTATTCCTCTGTAACCTGTAAATTCACTGCCATATCCCACCCTTCAAACCGAAACACAGCCATACGTTTGCATGGCTGTGTTTCGGTTCTGCAATTGCTTCACGGCAAAAACACGAATGGGAATATTAATTAAATTAAAATTAATTCTTAAATAAAACGAGGCATGGGCAGCCGCGGCTCGCTTATAACATCACTAAAAGCCTAACTGCGATTGCCAACCCGCTTGTCAAGCGTGGCAAAAACACGAGGTCTGTGTTGGGAATATTAATTAAATTAAAATTAATTATATAAACTAATTCTAAACAATTAATAATTGCATTTGCTAAATTGTTTCCCAATATTTTCTAATGTAGCGAAAATATTAGATAGATCATTATCACAGTTATTGAAGAAATAATAATACCAGGAAAACGACCAGCCAAACATCCCTTCCATAATATAGTCTAAATATATTGACTCTTAGTTGCAGGTGGGCATTACTCATTTCTTTGTTCAACGTTTATTCCATATTCTGCTATCGATATCTACCTGAAAAATTGTCACAAACGTACTCCTATAATGATAACAATATTCATAATGAAAAAATAATTAACATCACAAATGTACCACACCACGCGCTGATTGTACACGGTGATCTTTACTGTTCTGGTAACTTGATACACAGCAAGATTGTGCTTTCCGCTGCGAGTTGTTTTAGGCAACGAAATCAAAACCCTTGCATTGTAAAAGTTGGATCGAGTTCCATGATTGGTCGAGGGTCAGTATAATTTTACAGAAGATGAAAATATATTTTCTCAATATTATGCTGTCCTAGTAAAGTAAATCGTATCTTTTCAGTCAAGTTATAAATGTTGTTGAGATAAAAAATCATGAGTACTTCGGATATAGTAGCAGAATGGACAATGATATCGCTATGTTGGTTTTGCAAGTAGGTATAATGTTAATTTATTGATAACTTTTCAACCGATTTTAAAAAGGTGGGAATTTTCAATCCGGTTGTATTTTTTTGTTTGTTACCTCATAACTCCATCCATTGCGCATCTATAAAGCAGTTTGAAAAATTCTTTTTCCCTTATATCTGAAAATATGTACTTACAGACTGTTGTGATTGTCAATACTTAGTATATAAATAAAAAAACTTACCAGAATTGAAGCCGATTTTTTTGTGGAACACAATCTTATTTATGTAGACATTCAAATACTTACTAATAATTAATAATTTTCCTTATTTATCTTTAAACTTTCAGATTACAATGATTTATTTATTCTAAATATAATATTAAGTATTACATATGATGTATATTTGGTAGAAGTGTGAAGTTTTTTTTTTTTATTGTGTGATAATGGAATGGTAACCCCTCCCGCGGAATTTAATTATTAGAATTGGCCACGATGGTTTTCAAGAGGAACCACGTGGAGGTTGACCTGATAGAGAATACATATACACACAATATATATTAGTTATAGGGTTATCAAATCCCAATACTAACAATTCCTTTCTTGTAAAGTTAAGTGAGATCATTAAATTTTTCATTTGTTTTTTTCAGAAGCATGTGGAATTTGGGCCTAATGTTAAAAAGACAATTCTCGTACAACCAGATGTAGCGTTACGAGACGGCGTTCCAGTTAAAGTCTCGGGATGGGGTAGTGTGGTGAGATATATGAACTTATCAGTTTTATATAAAACAAATATTCGCAAAAAACACACTTAACAGTAAGAAGGAACATTGGATATTTAAATTTCCTTAAATAAATATACCATTTTATACTTATTATATATTTTTGTTGAAAGACGTTTAGTATTGTTCAGCTACTCATTATGAAAAACATACGAATCAATATTATTCTAAATAGATACCTTGTTTAATGTCGCTCTAGACAATTTTCGCAAAAATAATCTATGTACAAACATTATAATTATTTCATTCAATGAAAGTGCTTGTATCTTAATAAATATTTTTAGTTGCTTTGATTGACTAGAACTAAAAAATAAAACAATATACACTTTTAATTATATTACTTATCTCTGCCCTCTAGTTTGCAAAGTTAGTCTCTTTTTCCTTGTGAATCATCAGATTGAATTAGTTTCAAAGCAATGAATATAGCAGCCAACTGCTTTTCTGCTGAAAACGTTTTACTAAAAGTAACAAAGTACTATTACCTTTTCATTATCTTATATAGATGGCGCTTTTACTAAAAATAAATATAGTTATGAAAACCATATTAAAATATTATAAAAACATTCAGAATAATAAAAAAAAAACTGATATATAATCCTTATTAATATTATAAAAGAGAAAGTGACATTGTTTATTTGTTTGTTACCCCTTAGCAACTTAACCAACCATTATGACATTTGATATACATGTTCTATATATGATGGAAGACATAGATTATATTTATTTCAGTCACTAAACATTAATCCAGTCACACCGAGGGGGAATGGGATTGTTAGTAATGCGGATTACCACTCGAATTGCTGACATAATACCCTAACAGGTCGACCTCCCCGTGGTCCCCGCTGGAAACCATCGTGCTGAATTCCGAGTGTATTCATTACGATGGGCTAACTGAACTGCCTTTTCATTCTCACCTATCATCTCTCACTGGTGCCCCGCCAGCATATACCGTTAGCGTTAGCTCTGGAGGAAAGGGATTGTCAAATCTCCAACTCCAATTCTAACAATATACCTTATCAGGTCGACTTCCATGCGGTTCCCTATGAAAACTGTCGTGGTTAGTTCTTGTGGAATGCGTCACAAGGGCTAATTGATCTGCTTTCATCTTCATCGATCACCTCCCACTGGTGCCTCGCCCAGCGAATACAAACCGATAGCGCAGACCGGGTTGCCATTCCATTTTCACCCATCAAAAAGAAACATGATAGCTCTTTCTCATATATTTCAGCGTAATAAATATTGCTTAAACTTTTACTGCTTATTTTATAATATTTAAGTCTTATCATAATGGATTACAGAATGTACCACCTAATCAAATTAACAAACATCTGCAGTCTGATATGATTATATTGAATAAGGAGGAATGTATCAAATACTATGGCAATCTGATGACACCGTCTAACTTTTGCGCTAAATATCCATTGGTAAGTTCATAATTTATACTTTCATTAAATTGTCTTTTTTTTTTTTGTTTTGTCCAAAGGTTTACATTATGTATTCACGTTTACGTCGATAAGTTTGTATGACAATTTGAGTTTCGGAAATTATCCGCTGGAGGCGCTACTAAGTTTTCTGTACAAATTCTTGACGCAATAATGTAATTGTGTATTAAATTCACTATAAGTATACATTGTTTATTATATATTATTGTTAGAATATTGTTAAAAATTAATAAGTTTGAAAATTTTGTATTAACACAAAATACCAAATAATATAAAATATATAAAAATAATGAAAGAAATAAATATTCCGAGGAGGATTTTAGAGAATACCATCATAAAAGTAAATCCTATATTTCTAATACAAAACTTTTTGCACTCTTTTCGCGCGTTATACATAGCGAATATAAAACCATTTCCCAGGAGCGCCGTCTCAGCGACAATGGTGGTTCGGCCGTTTACAGAAACTTTCTTGTGGGCATACTATCTTTCGGAGCCACAAACAAAGAGGAGCCATTTGTAGCTGTTTTTACGAATGTCTCTTATTTCTACAGGTATGTAGAACCAATAATAATAAATAGTAACATTCAATAAGCGCCTATAGGTTACATATAGGTACTAACATAAATAAAGTTTTTTTGTATCCACAGTAACCGTAAATGACAAAGATATTTGTGTATTTGTTACCTAATCAATAATTTGCTTTCTGTTTGCTACACATATAGAACATAAAATTATTTTTAATAAACACAATTTACACTTTTTTTTGCAATTCACACGGCCATAACTACAGGATACAGTTAATAAGAATACACCCTACCATCCTGCCTATTTATCCAGTAAAATCAAAATGTGTTTATATTCTAAAGGACAAAATATACCTTCATGAATAAAACGTAAGAGGTCGGCGATAAACGGCACTAGATATACCTTAATGTCAAGGGTTCCCATTTTCGTCATGACAATGATATCTCAGTTTATTTTCCATTCGCGGTAGAGTATAGAAAAGTCATTAGGTGTTATGACAGTAATTCTCTTATACTGTCCAATACTCTAATTAGTCCATTTATAAAACTAAAAATTTTCTTTTATTTCTGACTATGGTCAACGATATTATAAAAAAATCTACTGACATGACGATAGGAATAATATTAAATATGTTATTGTTATTACAATAAGTATACACTATATAAACGCCTTTTTTTTATGCAACTTAGATTGGCAAACAAGCTGACGACCCACCTGATGGAAAGTGGTAACCGTCGCCTGTAAACATGAGCAGTAACCGTGGACATTACAGAGTATACTGTTTCGCCCATGATACCTCCCATGCATTGCCATTCCTGAGGACTCAGGTGTTATTCCTCTGTACCCAGTAAATTCACTGCTATATTCCACCCTTCAATCCGAATCACAACCATGTAGACACAACTACTTCACGGTAGAAATACGAATGGGACAAAGATGCACAAGCAAACGACTTTTGTACAAAGTCGCCCAATAGGAAATAATGAATCGAAGACATTAACTAAGCTTACAATATATCATTAGACTAATAAAATTGTTCTCAAAAGTCTGTAATCCAATTATTTTATTCCTTTATCAAATTCCTTTTTAATCCTATATTTAAATAATAACAATAAAATATAATCTTTCATATTCCATTAATAAAAAGTCGTCATTTACATTTCAATCCATTTTCCTTAGAAAGTTGTAAGTTTTGTGAGTGCTTTCGTTGCTTTCCATATTGTCATACATTTTCACACTCTGTATGAACATTTTATCCACAGGTGGATTATGATCAACAGTCACCAATTATTGAAGAAATATTGCGTCAAAGACGTTAACTACAGAAGTATGTCATTAGAGTACGTAGATAATATTAATAAGAAATAAAAGAATTGTTCCCAAACGTCTATAATGAAGTTGTCATATTCAATACCTTATTATTCAAACAGTGCTCATCCTTAAACTTGTAAAATGTTTTTTCTATCCAGTTTCTCAGATACCAAACATTAGCATAGACACTCGGTTTGTATTTTTTAGCGCATCCATCACCATGTGACGTAATCCCTACCAGCATTCTGTAACATCAATATACATTATTATACCACGACCTTCGACGCATGTTGCTGTGTACAAATTAGGTCATGGGTTCGATTTCTGTCGGCCCAATTTAAAATAACAACTTTTCTGAATTAGCTTCGGTTTATGCTTAGGAATGTAATTACTTGCTCCTATTTGCGTCTTGTAAAACATTATTCCAATTCCAACTCTTTGGAAACTTGTGACTCTAGACGGTGACATCACATAAGAAGTAATAACTAAAATTTTTCGAAAAAAAATCAAATACTACTCTTTGAAGAGAGAAATATACAAATGCTACTAAACGCATTTTTTTTTAATATGGATAGAAAAACGACAAAAAGTTTTTAAATCTTCATACTAACACGATGCGTTCAACTATCGAATTAGTAACATATGGGAGGTTCAAATTTTCTTATGTTTATTTGAGAGCCATGTTCAGTTTTAATGGTAAAAATGCACTCAAATGGATGGTGATAATTTAAATTTCACCCTAAGAGTAAAAACAAAGCCATTAAGAATTTTTTACAGTTTAGTGTTCTATCCATATACTGATAATATTGGGGGGGGGGGGGGGGGAAGGGATTGTTAATGATGAAGATTAGTAACTCTATTACTATCAATATAACCTATCAAGTCGACCACTACGTGGGTCGCGCCCTGATAGGGTATAACACAAGTGTATACCGATAACGCAGGTGGGGGTTACCATTCTATTATCATCTATAAAAAAAAACCATATAATATGTAAACCATACAATAAATATTCAGTAAATACTATAAATATATAAGTACTGTAAGCAATTTTATTTATAGAACATATAGTTTCCATTTTAAGAAGAAAACAGTACAATCACTGACGTAAGAAACATAACACTTTATTCCTCATAAGCTATTCATGACTGTAAGCGGTATCAACCAGCTTTCACGCAAGCCATTTACCTATTTTTTTGTTTGGGTTTAAAAAATGTAAATATTACCTACATTTACATTACGAGTATGTACCGACAAATAACCATAATTATGTACCTAATGACTAGTATAATCACGTACCTTCCTCTATAATTCCTATTAAAATACTCAAAATAAACTAGAAAATAGCTGTATGGATCTGTATGTTATTAGAATAAGTAAATAATAATGATTGATACCTTTATATCCTATAAAACATCATAATAAGATAGTACCATCCTACAATGGTATACTTACTTTTATAATATCCTCAATTTGTTCTGATTTGTATTCATTCATGTGATATGAATACAGTATATGCTAAACTCTTTCCTGTTATTATTTTTCGTTCTACGAATATCCGTTTCTTATTATCCGACCCTTCAGCCCTCAACAATTCCTAATAACTGATTATTTACGATTGATTAATTTTAATGATGATGTTCTTTTCTATATTTATGTTGTTCGAGTGTTTGTGATTTTCCACCCATATTTCTATGGGAAAATTTTCAGTTTCATTAATAGACCGTTTTTTTATTAATGTAAAATTGTGTTCTATAAAAAACCGACATCAATTGTGGCAAAATTAGTTATTTTATTTAAAAAGTACCGATTTTAATAAAATTTCTATGAGACCAGTCTTTAAGTATATACTTTCAGATAGACAAAATTTTTTTCAAATGAGTTTATAACTGTGGTAAACGGTGTTGGTAGCAAATTTACTCAATGTTTTCTTTGATTAATATTATGTATTATTCTTTATTTTGTCACTGTTAGTTTTCCCAAATAAATAAAAAAAATAGCTAACGGAATAAAAAAAAAACAAAAAAAAAAACAAATAGAACCGAATTGAAAACAAACCTCCTTCTTCTCGAAATCAGTTGAGAAGATAGTAATTATTTATTTCAATGACGATAAATAAATTGATACATTTATTTTGTTTGTACATGTTAAAAGTATTTTTTATATTATAATAAATGTAAATAAGTAGCAACTTATTTACATTTATTATAATATAAAAAATACTTTAAAAAATGAAATATAGTAAAAAATACTACTACACTTTCTAACAGCGCTTATGTGTTGCCATTCTGGAGGATTAAAGTGTCATCTTCTACGTCAGCCTTTGCAGTAATCTTTGCTCTTAGATAGATATATAAAAATGGACAGAATATAAATGTCTGGGTAAAATCTATAAAAAAGCTCCAAAAAAATTATATAAAACTCTTAAACTTTATCATTACTGGCTGTTATTATGTATTGACAGCAAATATTTAATTGAAAATTGTTTTTACAGTACCCTTTAGTGTGAAGGTCAAAATATCAAAACTTTAGCATTATTTTAAGATAGGGGCGTGGGAAGTGTAATTAAAAATATCTTACCCGTTCCAAAGTACTCCACCTCCGGAATCTCCCCTGCAAGTATCTCTCTTTCCTTCTCCATACAGGCAAAACATATCAGCAGTCAGTTTGATTCCATGCATCTTACTACACTTCTTGGATGAAATAAACTTAAGGGTAGTCATCATTAAACCATGTTGTGATATTTGTCCATCATACTGAAATGTATTTTATATATACTAAAAGTCAAGCATTTTAAACTATTTCCTACAACATAAGCTTATAATAGCTTAGCTAGCATAGCTTTTCAGAGACCAAGTCTAATAGTTTGTATCTTATGTTTGTAAATAAGCGATGTACACATCCAATTTAAAAAAAGAATATTATTAAATTTCGAATTTTCTTCTATCCTCTTTATAATATTAGTATCAATAAAAATAATCTTACTTTGTTCTTTTATCATGTCTAGAATATACTTATAATATACATACATATAGACAAATTATTCTAAATTGCTATAAAAAAACAAAAGGCATCCTACACATCAGACGACCTTTAATGCTTGCTTATAACCTTGTTGTTTTAAAAATATACAGAAAGTAACTATCTAATGAAAGTATTCTTTACAACGTATTATCTAATAAAAACCGGTTTATTTTTATTTCATAGAACATGCTTTAAATCAACTTCTGAATATAAAAACATTCGTTAAAACTTCCACACAACAATATTTATAACGTTAAAAAAATATTTCGACTTACAGTAGTCCACCCCCAACCAGTAGCAATAAATGTCTTCTCTTTCTCATTCATCCACATATTATGAGTCACTATTAGAGCTTTCTTGGATTTATTCGTAAACTTTATTGGAGTTTGGAGGAATAACAACGCTATGTCGCACGCAAACTGTGCGCTTTTGTTGTATCTCTCGTGGATTGCAAAGGAAAATATGTCGTGAGATTTAGCATTGAAATCGTAGAAGTATCTCGACCCTATATTCGTTAAATAAATTTTTGATTACTCAAAGAAATTAAAATAAATTTTATCTGACATAATTCACACATGCACAAAATCCTACAGCCTAAATGGCCGCGTACAACGCGATTTCAGAGATGTTTTCTCCGACAAACACTCAGGTTATGGAATGAGCTCCCTGTCGAAGTTTTCCGAAGAGACTACAGCATGGGGTTCTTCAAAAGAGGGGCAAAGAGGTTTCATTAGGGTCGGCAACTCACACGTAATATCCCTAGTATTGCAACCGTTCATAGGCTACAGTAACCACTTATTATCAAGTGGGCCGTATGCTTGATTGTCACGTCAGTGGTATAAAAATATATATATACACAGTCATCGTCGTCATATCACCCGTTATCTGTCCACTTCTAAACATAGGCCTCGCCCTTAGGGATGTTTTCGCAGTAATTTCCACACTGGGCAAGAACCTTTGCAACCGCAATTAGCGTTTGGTGATATTTTTAAAGAGACGCTGCTGCACATTCCTTTTCCATTAAATTCCCTTAGTCGACTTTTACGACACCCACGGGAAAGAAATAAATGGCCTACTCTACACACAATCGCAAGGAGCCATAATAGGTACTAGAATTAATTTACTGATCTATGGATTCATACAATCTAGATCGATTACAGTAAATCTGAATAGGCTATTCATGGACTCGCAAGCTCCATCTTAGACCACATCATCACTTTCCATCAGGTAAGATCATAATCAATTTCGGAACCCTTCAACAGTAAAATAAGTTTTGATGTTCCCAAATTCTATCACACTTTAATACATACAAAGAGATGCTACATTACTTGCATCTAGTATAGTATTATATTATCTGTGCTTACACTAACACATGCTATTAAGCTAATTTTTATACCTATTAACGCGAGCATAACCCGGTAACTGGTATAAAAAATGGGAATGTTTATATAGATGTTCGCGTAATGTGTTACTCGATTACTCTTAATGGCCCAGTGGATTTCAATAAAATTAGGTGTATGATTAAAAATTTGACATACGTAAATTCTAAAAAAATAATAAATATTATTTTATTATTCTCTTAAATACTCGTAAGTATGGATTTTTTATTAATGCTCTTTATTTTCATATGAATAAATTACTTTGATTTGTTCACTTCTTCTACATACAATTATACTAATAAACAAAGGCAAAACTCTGGATTAAGGCTAGTCATTTATAAATATTCCAATAATAGTACTTACCAACTTGTACTACCATATCATTTACATCAGTATTAACATCAAAGCAATGAGCAGCTGTGAGGACACTCCAACTGTTAAGTATAGTTCCACCGCACATTGCCCCAACGTTAAAGAATTGTACAGAAGTTGGAAACATTTCCATATTCACCGCCTTTCCGCCTACTATTTTACCTTGAATATTTGCTACAGCTTTCTTACTAACCAGCGATTGACTATATAACAAACGATTTCCGTGCATGAATACTATAATCAAGCAACTGAGAAAATCAAACAAATTTCTCATTTTAACGGTGAAGTCGCAGTACTCTGTGATTCCTTAACAAAGCTCTATGAATTAAAACCAATCATTACGTTAATTAATTTTTATAGACCTATAGCGGTAATTATATGGTTAACGAAATAAATTAAACGGCAACAAATAATTTATTTCACATTACTAGTCACGAGAAAAACGCTTAGAGAGTAAGCATAGTACGGCCAACTGTTGAGAGTAGAACATTCCTTTCGGTTGATCATTCATGGGTCATATTGTCCCTATGTTTGCTCAGGACCAAGTTTTCCTTTCTTACCTTAATTAACTTTTCTCTTAGTTACCTTACAATATCTTGGAGATAAAAAGGAATGCCAACACGTGAAGTTTTTATTAATGCACCGTACAAAGAACAAATTAATTTCCCGTTACTTATGAATATAGACAAAGAACAAGTGCTTGAAACAATAAAATATCCAGTTATAAATTCATAAAACAATTTTCTCCAAGAAACATGTAACGTAAGGATTAAAGTGTGAAAACATTTAATAATTGAGTACACACACATAATACCTTACTGCTGAAGAATGGCAACACATAGGAAAAACATAATCAGTGGCATGTTATGGGAGAGGACAGTACTTTACTGATAATTATAATGATGATGATGATGATGAAGGGAAATCTTAGAAGTGAATGTGTAATCTATGATGTTTGTCAACTTACCAGTTAATATTTTGGACGTTAACTAATGTACACGGTTTCTATAACCTAGATCCGTAATTTTTCTTGATGTTTGGTAAAAAATGCAGTCTTTCGGTATTTATGGGTATTTTAAAACTCAGAAATATAGTCTAAGGACTAATTATGGTAAGCCTATGACTTCTTCGTAAAGTATTTTGTAATGTCCATGGTATTCTCCATTGCTATAAGTAATGGTTACAAATTTCCATGATGCGGCTGATCTTATGGAAATTGGTAGTTAGCAACATAATAAACAATCTGATTTAAAATTAAACAATTAATGATAGTAAATTATATATTGTAATAATAAAAATTTACTCATGATAATGAAATCTACAAAATCTTTTGTATAATTCTTTAACAGCAACTTCAATCCATGGTTTCAAATAATATACGTTGCCATACATGCTTGGGGTCTTACCACAGCCTCTTCCATGTGAAACAATGCCTACAATTCGTCTGAAAATATAAACACCATTTTTAAATTTCGAAAATTATATAAAAACTAGCTGATCCGAGAGACGTTATCCGAAACACCGCCTACCGGCTCCAATTGTGAATCTAAATCATCTAAGATCCAACTCCAACACACACAAATGATTTTATCAAAATTGGTCGAACTAAAATTTTAGTAACAAGTACGTAAACATATATGATTACACACACACATATATGATAATGGATACAGTGAGAAAACAAAAAAAAACAATCAAAAAGATTCATAAACAGTCTTTTCATAAGATCCAGTAGTTATAAAGCGATATACATACTTGATAACTACTAGATTACTAATTTTTAATACTTTAAATTAAAGCAATGGTTAACATATCACTATATTTAAATTTAATAATTATGTTAAAACTTTTCCCGCAGCTAATTTTTTAACCACGATTTTTTTCTACAGAAACACTGAATTCCAATTTATATACAAGTAGATATACTGACATTTTTTGGCTGTGAGCTAGAAAAAACTAAACAGTCATTTATATTCCTGAAAATCATTAATGTCTTATTGTCCATCCAAAAATTATAAAAATCGAAGGATATTTACAAAATTCTTGACTTTTATATAGAGTAAAATCTGAAATTATTAAATCCTTTTAAAGAAATGTATGTACCATTAAGATAAAGTCAGTAAATACCTACCTAGTTTAGAACCTGCTAACATGAAATTTCCTGATTTCACCTGATTATTAATAAGAATTGCCACAGTAATGAAAGAAAACGGGTTTACGCGTACTTCACTAAAACCTCACCTCCTTAGGAGCACCACTTCCTTGTGAGAGCGTCGCTTAACAAGAACTGAACCCATTTGGGTATTTTTATGTTATATTTTTGTATTAGTTCATTATAGTTTTTAGGGAAAGATAAATAAATATTAGGATTTGGTTTAGAAAATATAAACATTACCTGTTCCATAATATCCCGCCCCCTGAGTCACCATGACACGTGTCCCCCCGTCCATCTCCGTACAAGCAAAACATATCTGGACTCAGCTGCACATTGTTCATATGTGAGCACTTGTCACGTGATATATATCTAAGTTGTACCATCATTAGTCCGTTATGTTTGTTATTCTTAATGTTATTTTTCTGTGAAAATGAAATAAAATTATGGTATACAACAAATTCATACACATGTAAGGCACGAATATTTCAATTCATATTGAAGTAATATGAGCTTTTGTAAGAAAACCGCAAATAAACATAAAGGGGTCGGGTTACCAAAATTAAAAGTATCCTATTCTAACCCTGTCATCCAAATTAAATAACATGCTACAAAAACAAAAATTAAAAATTATTTATAAAACTTTTGTATACTCATTTCACAATAAATAAGTACAGTTTAGTAGTGGCATTATCTGTAATAGTAGTCACAGTTTCTTCGCAAAAAGGAAAGCAAATGTAATCAGCCACATAGTCATAGATACATGGAGTGGATAATCCTCTAATAAATTTATTAACGCACGCCAAAAACTTATAGGTCTTACTATCTTAAACTTGAAATTTTAGATATAGGATTTTACAACTGATTTATTTATAATACGAAATTAAAATAACAATTTATAACAATAATAAAGAAACAGAAAATCTGAAACGGTTTATAGAGACAGCAAGTTTATCTTTAATCTATATGTTTATGTTGGGTAAATGTCTCATCGGTCACTTATTCAAGCGTGCAAAAAGGTTTAGACGGTAAAGGAAAAGACGGTACATACTACTTACTCCACACATAAAAGCATTAGCTAAGATAAGATTTTTGAATAAACCCTTGGTAACGCGATTTGATGTTCCGGGTAATGAAGTTACGAAATTAGATACAAATAAAATGTTATAGCATTTTTTTATAAGGTGATAAAGGAATGGTAACCTCATCTGGGCTATCAGTATGATGGTGATGATGGATCGTAATAGTTTCCTGGGGGAACTGCGTGGAGGTCGACCTGACAGGGTATATTGCTAGCAATGGGTTGCTAGCAATGATAATCAGAGGGATTGTTAGTCCCTCTCCCCTTTCCCCCATAATCTTATAGAGTAGTTGGAGTGATGACATCAATAACAATTATTTCTTAATGATTAGAACTGGAAGCTCTTCTAGCCACTTAGAATTACATCGCGCTCGATAGGTAGCTGCCATAGCATATGCTTATGTCCAGCAGTAGACTACAGTAAACTAATAAGAACCATTAGCCATGTGATCCCAACATAGAATGTGTACTAGGAGGCGACTAAGAGAACTTAATGCTCAAGAGATACGTAACAGCGTATCACCAAAGGCTAACTGCCATTACCAAACTGCATACCAAGCGTGGCAACTATTGGTAAAACTCCCCTCTTTAGAGGAGGCCAATGTTTATCAGTGAACAGTTAATAGTCAGCTATGATGATGATAATGAATAATAACTATGATGAAAATCTGTTGACTAAATGTTAATGATTACCTCTAACTTTCCCCACCCGGTACCAATGAAGCTGGTCTCGTTTTCATTCATCCATACATCATTGTCAATTAAAATTGCCTTTTGGACGTAAGGACCTAAGACAAACTTATCGTGTATTATTATTACTGCCACATCGTTTGAGAATACTGTAGTCTCATTGTAATGTTCGTGTACTATAAAATCCCATATATAGTGAATGTTTGATTTATGACCATAGATAAATTGACAATCTGAAAGATAAAACTTGCATGTAATCTAATTTTCTATCTGAGAATCTACTAAATTATTAGATTTTTTAGGGTGTGGTTAAATTTTACTAATAAAATAAATACAGATTACAATAATCCCAGGCTCTAGGATATTAATGTTTTTAACATTTAATAGGTGTATGAAATGTGTCTAAGAGTGCTTGTTACTTAATCATGCTTAAACGTCTTCATATATATTATTAAAATTTGGAATTACTCTGAAATGGACTATATTCTCAAATAGAAATGATACTTTTATCCTAATTACACAGAAGACAGACAATGTAATATCTAAATACCGACGGAGAATGAATTAGTTTCTAAATATACGAGTTACTCCAACACAAATAATACAATGCATTGATGTATTAAACGGCTCAAAAGACACTTTGTAGAATTAAATAACAATAAAAAGACCACCGCCATCTGAGGCGACACTTGAATTTTAACACGCAGCCAATATTTTGCCTCTATTTACAGTGGAAGGCGCACATTTAAAAATAAACACAAAATGTACTAATAATATAGACGTATTCACTCAACTGGATAATATTCTCATCTCAGCTTTATTTTTATTAAAATCGAAACAATGTGCAGCTGTTAAAACTATTTTCGTAGTTAATTTTGTACCACCACAGATCCCACCATAATTGAAAAATTGCACGTTGAATGGATAATCCTTTAGATCCACTGTTGTTCCACCATTAATTCGATGTTCTAATTCATACTCATTTAAAGTTGTCCAATTTAATATTGCCTCTCCCATATCTTTTAAATGGCAAAGAACAAACGATTCAACAGAAATTAAAAGTGTAATAGCTATTTTATCAATCATTTGCTTTGACTTAAATGACTAGAGATTTGAATTAAATCATCGACTGTTTAACTCAAACCAATAAAAATTTTATGGCCATGGTACGGTGCTGATATTAATCTACCAGACTTATGACTATTGGCAAATTAAACAACTATAATAAACCTACTTATATAATATTTATTTTAACAAATACTTATATTGTAATATTAAAAAGTATTAAAGACTGTTTCGTAGTTTATCTGTTTAATGAGAGTTTCTCTTAAATAGCAACTCGTAGGTACATATTTACTTCTTCAAAAGGATTTTAATAATGGGATTTTATTTAACATGATACTATTTTTTGTCAAGTTTGCATGATATTTTAATAATATATAGTCAATTCGTATGTCTTAAATGTGTTAGATAAAACAACACTATACAAAATACAACACAATATAAATACGTTTGCCATTGTCTCCAAATGATTATGTAATACATAGTAATACATAGTCTGGTAATGAAATCGTGGAGAAATCTATAAAACAGTTTTTGTATGGAAATATATCAACGACCAAATTGAATTATATAGCCCATGTGTCAACCTAGGGTTTAAAGTCGGTTTATATGCCAGATTTTATCAAAATATATTTAACATTTTATGCTTAATTAAGGAATAATGATTCACCTATCTTCACAAACTCTGATATCGTTAATACTTAATATTTAATATAAATAACTCTACCTACAACCTTTATTTGTCTAAGATATCATACCTACATATATAACGTTTAATTATAGGATATATTACAAACTATTTTTTTTGATATTCCAAATATTAATTTTTTCTGTTAAACCGACCTGTCTAGACAGACATGTGGCGTCGTCGTAACTCCTTCACAGTCAATTCACAACTATGATTCATTGTAATAATTGTATCAAATTTTGATTTTAAGAAGTATTTTTCATATATAGTGGCGTCTTTTATTAAATCTCAGATACTCTATACGAAAATATCAATTCAAATTTGAAAAATGTCAAATTTCTTGAATATTTAAAATAATAAATAACTTTGAATTGCCAACTTTTATTCAATTTAGGTACACTCAGATATTAGTTAAAATTATTTTAAATACTTTTCCATTGTAGACCAATGTAATAACTTTTAAAATTCTAAATTCACAAGTCATATTTATACGTACATACCTAATCGATTTATGGTTTAAATTTTAAGTATTAATTGATATCGAATCTGTTTATTAAACAAATTACCTAACATAATTAATTATTTCATATTTATTAAAAGTGCATGTCTCAATTTACAAATGTATTTTTATAACTTTTGTTTTATGTAAATTAGCTACATATATTAGAATGACAGATATAGCACTACGAGAACAAAATTACTATAAATAACACAGTACAAAGTTTAAAAGGTACAATAAATTATAAATACGTGCTTAATTTTACTTATTTAATCTAAAGAACACTTCGCAACCACTAATTTGGAACAATCTTATATAAGATGATAAACAAACGATTTTCTAATACATAAAACAGTGAATATAATTACTAAATCTATACTTGCCATTAATATGCTAATTTTAACGAGCAAAAACGTGTCCACAGTCGAATTGTGACTTGCGATTTATTTTAGCGTAAACTCTCACTCGGTTTGATTCGATATGATTCGACTTTATTACCGCCGTCTCTTTCATACGTACAGAAATAATAATGTTCACGCTTGAAATGGGTTGTTTCAGAAGATCAGTAGGGTTCAGTGAGGAATGCCGAGCCGCCCGCCTTCGCGCATCACTTGCCCCCAGGCGGTCGCAGGTAGCGCCGCGCGCGGCCGCTGCATGCACTAAACATAACCTAGTACGGCCTAATATAATCAATTCGAAATAATACGTTCCCTCACACTTCTTTTTTTAACTAACCTCACTTTAAATAAACATGAAGTGCAATAAACATATACGTATTGTGACTGGCGAACACATCTGAAAATTTGCCAAATGAATTATAGTTTAAACCAAAATAAAGGTGCTATTGATTCACTGATTGATGCTGTTTAAAAAATTAGGTAGGTAATATTTATTATATTTTAGTATAAAATGTGTAATACAAATATATAAATAATTATAGATTATTGACATGTGTATTAATGCTTAACTGTTTCTAAGTCACGTTATAAAGACACCTGTTTGTATTTTAATTACATAATGTATACATTTAATTTAAATTACTTAATATTATCATTCTACTCACTCAAAGGCATATTATTTAATAAATAACCTAGCGGTTATATCGTAGTGTCAGATTATTACAAATTATTTATTCCACTGTACCTATATTATATTGATATTACAAAGAAATAGCTTCAATATATTACGTAGCGTCATCTAGTCGCAAACTAAGTAGAAATATAATATGGGATTTTTCAAAAAGGGTATATTAAGACTTCTTCAGGGTCGGCAACACGCACGTGACACCCCTGGTGTTGCGGACGTCCATAGGCTACAATCAGACGGGCTGATCGTTTACAATCAGACGGTCTGTATGCTTATTTGCCGCCTTTGTGGTATAATAAAAAAATTGTACAATAGATAGGAATTAGAAAACGTTCGGACAAACAGACATACCCATTCATATATATAATTAAAATGTTTGTTTTGTGCAAGAATCAAATCTTTGTGTATCAAAGCTAAGGTATAATATTAAAAAACAGATCATTAACATAAAACATTTGGGAACGGAATATATCTACCTAGTAATTGCATATTGCACTACTGCATACACCAACACCTTTTCGTTATAGCACGTACACTCGCTTACCTACATAAGTACTTAGGAAGTGTCTAGACGTAAATCTGTACAAGCTACCTATATCTACATATATATAATAAGCATACTATATTCTAAAGGAAATGAGTGGAAATGATAATGCTCCAATGACAGACGACTCTATCATGGTTACAGTTATTTGAAATTAGGCATCATCATCATCTTCATTTTTTTTGAAAGATTTTGACAGTTCATCATTCACAATATCTCATAATCATAATATTTTAAAATCTTATACAAAATAACCAACTGCCATCAATTTTGATTAAACGGGACTGAATTTTTTTTTTTGTAATTAATTAATGAATAATTTATCTTTACGGAAACCTTACACTGTAACAAAAACATTGATAATCAAAAACTTTGATTAGATATTTATTAATGATTCTTCCATCAAAAACATCAAACGAATTTTTCTTGTTGTTTGTTATATTTTAACAAATCATTATAGGTAATTATAGACGCCGGTCACGCCGCCTTGGCCTAGTGACTATGCTTGTTTTATTTTAAAAAGTGAAACAACGCGGGAACTTGTTCGCAAAAGCAAAAATACAATAGTTAAAATACATTTATTAAAGTGATTTATTATCTTAATAACCTTGTAGATTAGGTATTTATTTCATAATCGTCATTAATATAGATACCTATATTATTGCTTTAATTAGCAATCAAGATTATTTTCTTATTATACAATATATAGGTTAATAGCCTAATAAATAATGAATACTTAATGATAACGCATTTACATAATTATAAATTGAAATGTTTTCGTTGGTACATGCTTTTGTTAAATCCTACTGTCTTAATTTATTGCCTTTAAATTATAGCCTAAAGAAATTATTATAATAAATTTCAGTTTAATTGGACACTAGAGAGTGTTTAAAAAATAGATTGCAAATTTTTAAAGGAAATATTATACTAATGCAAGTTAAATAAAAGCATATACACAATAATACCTACCTAATTTTAAATGTATCTACACCGTATATAATATAATCCCGATCAATGATGCAAATCTCTAAAATCAATCAACCGGTTTTAATACTATTTCATAAATGTTTATTGTTTACTCTTACTCGAAAGATATGATAGTTTTTCTTTCGATAAGTGACCCTCAATATCTTTTATAAGACAAGACAAGTTTGCCAAGTTCGCTAATATAGTCTTTTTTACTATATAACATATGTATCATTTTACTGATAACTAAGTAATCAATCAAAAAGAAAATTTACTGAACTAAGTGTTTATCTTGCGGAAGTCCGTATCACTGGTTTTTTGAATAAAATTATTTTGTTCAATTCCGCTAACATTAGTATGTGTGTCAGTGCAAACAATAATAATACTTTATACAAAATAATAAGACTTTGTGCAAAAGTCGATTGCTTGGGTACCTCTGTCCCATTCGTGTTTCAACCGTGAAGCAGCTATGTTTGCATAGTTGTGTTTCGGTTTGAAGGGTGGGATATGGCGTGAATTTACTGGGTACAGAGGAATAACACCTGAGTCCTCAGGAATGGCAACACATGGGGGGTATCATGGGCGAAACATACTCTGTTATATCCATGGTACTGCTCATGTCTATAGGCGACGGTTACCATTTCCTATCAGGTGGGCCGTCAGCTTGTTTGCCATTCTAAGTTGTGTAAAAAAAAATAATGATCAGTATTCGAGGGTTTGCAATTACACACATACTAATAATAGCGAAATTAAACAAAATAATTCTGTTCAAATAACCAAAAAAAAAATAGAATTTATTAAAAACCAACTACCAAACTACTACTACTTCTCTATCTATCTATTAATTAGAACTATTACTAACGCTACTATTACATTATTTTACTGCAATAATTTTTTGACTACCTATATTTAAAAGCAATAGACATAATTCTAAATTTGCTCGAGTTGAATCTAAAATAAACCATGTATATAAATAACAGGAATAGATGTATAGATACGCTTCCGAACATGAGTAAGTACCTAAGATTGTCTAGACATAAAACAGATTCACGCAAACAGTACAACAGGATGTACTATGTGCATGTAGATGTAGATAGTGGCACCTCATGTCATAGTGTTGTGTCGTGAATACAAATGTTGCGCAAAACGCGGAAACAAAACACAGGAGACATTTCCTTATTCTGTCTGTTCTCCGGATATATGATATACAATACGTCTATAGTAATTTTTAAGGAGAATTATAATATGGTTGATGATACGTGTAATAGAATAGCTTTTTCCCATAACTAACAATCCTTTCTCCCCTTTAATGTTGTATTACCTATGCCTATGACTTCCTGCGCGTACTAGTCAATATTAGTTTCATTAGTAAAAATATAAAATAAATAAATAAATATATAATTAAAAGTACCCGTAACCGGCGAGCGTGTATGAAAAGATTGATGAATGTGGAAGAAGCGAAAGAGGTTTGTTTGAATCGAAGCATTTGGCGTTCCATTGTTTCTGCCTACCCTAATGGGAAACAGGCGTGACAGATATGTATGTATGTAGTAAAAATATAATGTAATAAATACTTTTTAAAGGACTTGTTCACAAATGAAGGTTCAATTAACAAAGACCTCTATTAAGCATTAATACGTGTAGGTACACATAGCGTAATCGGTATTATAACTTGGACACTTCTTTTGCTGTAGAAAAAATATTTCCTGGAAATTCCCCTGATTATTTCAAACTTTTCGCTCGGCTGGTAAGGGTCCAACCCTTACCAACGTTGACGATTTAATCTCACAATCTGTTAGAACTTTTTTTTCTTATATTGGACTTAAATTTTTCTGAGAAAATTTGTCGCTATTATTAGTTTTTATGGAGAAATATTACAGTTTTATAAGCACTTAATTACTCAGTACAAATATATGTATTTTTTTTATTTTCAAAACTTCTTTCTTCATAATACATTTACGGACACAATTCGCCTTACATATTATTATCTCTATATAATATAATATTTAGAAACAAATGGATATGAGAGATGGATAAATGTGATACATAGATATAGAAGTTGTATTAAATATTTTCTATAACGAGTATTCGATCCGCCTGATGATAAACAGTCATAGCAAGTCATGAACACTCTAATGTCAAAAACATCACAACCATCACTCACACGGTACCAACACCATCCAAACCCGAACTTTAATTTTACTCGTATACTGTATATAAACAAGCTAATTACCAAATTTTATATTTAATAGGGAGAGAAATAATAGGTACAACGGCTTAAAGTTAGCACAGACAAGAGATATTTGGTCCGAAGATATAGTTTTCTTTATTTTTGCCTCATCTCCTCAGACAGACAAGTCTGACAATAGACAACCCTCGGAATGGATTTCAGTCCTATCATAATAAAGCTCCTAAAACTGCACGCTTTAATACACACATGTAGTGTAAATACGTATACGGCTTACACGAAGAAAAACCTTACTATCTAATTTTTCCTTTTTTAGTAAAGATTATATTTGGGTAAAACTAACGATATTGATAAAAAAAGACTCGTATATCTACAAAAAAAACTTCGTCATGATATTTTTACTTGTGCGAGTAATACTGATTTCCAACAACATACGGGGACGATTGTAAATTTTGTTTATTGATTAATTAATAAATAATCTATACTTCGATGATTAATTATAACTCCTATGTTTGGAAGCATAAAAATAGTGTACACATACGACTTATTAAGATGTTTAATTCATTCTACGTGTGCATAATGAAAAAATGCCCTTATATTCAACAATGACTAGAAATAAAGACTGTTTAAATAAACTTTTTTAAGTATGACTATCTGCTCCTGGCAGATTTACTCGCATATATCAGTTTATAAGATAGATAGATAGTATATCAGTATATAAATTATAATATATTTTAAGATATCTCTATAATATAATATTATATATTCTAAGATATCTTATACCAATGTCTAAATCTCTTTATAAACTTTCACATTACACAAATTATTATTTGTAAAATTAGTATTTATAAAATTTTATTGCTGAACACTAAAACTCCCTATTGAAAACAATGGAATAAACAAAATAACAAAGAGTCTTGAATATTTTTAGTATGTAATTAATGGTTGTTAGTATAAAAAATAATGGCATATGGGCCTGTCATTCTTATATGTAATCACGTTTTAGACAACCCAACGACCCAGCCCACCACATTGTTTCGCCAATCTCGACATTTAGTTAACATGACTAGCAAAAGCTACTAGACAACATTGTC